TAAATATATAATTTTTTTTTAATGAAAACTATGGTTATTATTGTAATACGTGGCTCATATAGTTTGATTAAGTACATAACGACACCAAATTATGTCCCGATTAATTCATTAAACATGAATATGTTGAATTTCATGTCTATATGGAAAAGGAAAATTAAAGATTATTATATATCAAATATAATTCCAATGGACTTCTTCTTCATTATGTGGCAGTGGGACCTTCATTAGATGTCTCTGATCGACGGGAATAAGAATATATTCGTAATTTTCAAAGATTAATAGTGTACTATTCTATAATGTATCATGAAGGTTCATTCTCGTCAAACCTTGTGCATTTAGTGTGCAGTGTGGATAGTAAGATAATTATTGTCACATAAAGGAATAAAGGTCATTTGCATTTTGGACCTTGAGTTTCAGCTTTAATCTCAAATTAGCCTCTATTATTATTGAATCTTGTTTTTAATTTTACAATGCGTATTTATATTTTTTAAATGATTTTTTTTTTTTCATTTTTGGTCATGCAACTTTAGAATACTATATATCCTATTTATCAAATTTATTAATTTTAAAATCTTAAATATATAATTAGCGGGTTTAAAATAGATATTTCTAGCTCAATTTGTAGTGACGAAAATTTCTTTTTAGTCTTAATTGAAGTTAGCTTTTTTATTTATTTTTATATTTCTATTTGATTATTGAATTAAAATCACTTAATTTTTCGCATCGATATTTTACTTGGAAGCATGCTTTAGAAATATTTCTAAATGCTTATAAATGCTACCACATTTTTTATCTAAAAATTTCTAAAATATTTTTATTTTAGAAATATTTTTAAAATGACATTAAAAATGTGGCAGCAGATTAATCTCTTAATTGTACAACGCAAATCGAGAAATAATTAACAATCATCGGTCTCTTATGAATGTGATCACACTAACCCAAATCGAGCGATAGTTAGAAATCACATGGCTAGAGAACTGGACCTACAATGACCAAATTGTACCAGCTACCGACATTCCGTCACTTTTCACGACGGCATTTGTGTCAAAAAAATATTAAGTAAATACAAAAAGATTGACTTCTTATGGATCCATAGAAAATTAGGAATATTTTCTGAAAAAGTAATGCTATTTATAATCAGGGGCGAATCCAGGAATATTTTTCAATGCGGCACGAAATTCAGCTCCCGTTTGGCCCTCATTTTCTAGAAATGAAAGTAGATGGAATAGTGTTTTTTTGGAAAATGAGTGGTTGAAAAAGAAGTAAAAGTTTTAGATTCACGTTTAATATTATTTTATGAAAGATTGTGTGATTGAAAATAGGAGAGAGAAAAATAGAGTGTAATGAAATGTAATTTAATGGGGGTCAAACGGGGGCTATCTATGTCGAATCTTGAGTTTTCAGGACCTGAGATGAACTTTAAATTTGTCCTTTAAATTATAGTGTGCAATATGCATTTAAGTTTTTGAGAAAATTACATGAGATACTTCATTTTACAAAAAAAAAAATTAAATATTACATATCAACATTTTTTTTTTATCACGTATACTACAATATTCAAGTCCTGCTCTGAGCCAAAGGTGGGTCCGCCCCTATTTATCATCACTTGTGTTCCAATACTAATTTATGTGTCATTAAGTGTTATTAAATGAAAGGTACAATTAAATGAAATAATAAGTTCATATTTAACTGAACTTATGTATAATGAGTTGCCTGGACTGAGCCAAAGGTGGGTTCGCCCCTATTTATCATCACTTGTGTTACAATACCAATTTATGTGTCATTAAGTGTTATTAAATGAAAGGTACAATTAAATGAATTATATAAGTTCATATTTAACTGCACTTATCATATAATTAGTTGCCTGCAGTGAGCCAAAGGTGGGTTCGCCCCTACTTATCATCACTTGTTTTACAATACCAATTTAGGTGTCACTATGTGTTATTAAATAAAAGATACAATTAAATGAATTATATAAGTTTATAGTTAACCGAACTTATTATATAATGTCACATTCAATAGTGCTCTATGGTGCTATAGTATTATTTATTTCTGAAACCAAAGATGCCATTAAAAATTTCCAGTAAAATCTAATGTCAACTGAACTTTCCAACAGTTTCTTTGGTTCCGTAGGTTCTTTCAAATGTACACTAAACGTCATTGGCAATTCCCGATAAGAATAAAGATTAAAAATAAATAAAAATAGCCCCTCATGAGGTGGTCGAGTTGGTGAAGTAGGTGAGCGCGGAGACCTTTGATCACGAGTTTGATTCTCCGTACCAACATTTTCTTGGTCGAGTATGTCACACTGGACTTGCTTAATGCGATTTACCTGGCTGTCGTGGTTTGTAGGCTTTGCATCAGCCCTAGAGTTTACCCAGTGCACATCCAAAGGATAGCAGCTGCGGGTTCCCCGTCATTAAAAAAAAAAAAAAAAAGGCTGTAAAAAATTCTTACGCCATCAAATGGCGCTTTAAAATTTAATTCAATGATTTTGTTTCAACGACATTTTGTGCAATCGGAACGTATCATTGCTATGGAAGGACAATACTGATACAAAACTATTTTAATAAAATAAAATTATTTGTGAATTGGTGGACATAAATATGCATTTTACAGACATATTATAAAAATTGGAAAACGCTGAAATTTCGAATTGGCGCAAGTAAATAATAACGAGAAAGAAATATTTATAATTGCTATCATCAATTGATGGTTTGCAATTCTCCAGTATATGTCTTTACTTCTTATATAAGAAGTGAAATAATTCATCGAAATCATGGAAGTGACTCGATTTGTGTATAATATGTAATGAAATTCAGTCGTATATAAGAAATTAAAATTCATGTTTAAGGATATAAATGACAGTCATTCGACCGTTCACATTTTTTTGATCAAGTCTCCATGTAAAGACAAGACAACTATATAGAAACAAGTTCTCCAATCTACTCACTGATGTTGCTCCAAGTTATTAGTGTACTTGCTTATCAATGGAAAATTATCTAGTCAGAATTCGAAGAATTCAAGTTGTGTTGAAAGTAACTCTTAAAATGAGACAATCTTCATGGTTTGGTTTGTGATTAAGAAAATCTAGCCATTATTCCACCATCACCCCCAAAATCAAGAAATCTTTCTCAAACAAATTAATTTTTCATATATAAGAATTATGAATCCAAATATGAGCTCATGAATGAAACAAGAAATGCAACAAATATACAAACAAGAAAATTTGAACTTTTTTTTTTATAATCAGGGATTGATTTCATGAAGGTTTTTGTTGAAAGATTATTATTTTGTCAATGAATATTTTTTGATAAAAATATTTGAAAGTGATCATGATTTTAGGGAAATTTCCCCTAAGTAACTCCGCAGAAAGATTTGGTACAAATAATTATGCAAAATAATTTAAATAAAAGACAATTTTTAGCGCGGAATTTCTCTCTTCAGTGCTTTTGTTTTATCGTGAATTAATTCCAAAAATAAAAATAATACAATCTATTTACCTCGAATGATGCTCTGTCATCTTAAATATAGGATTTAAGATGACTAATCCATTAATGTCAATGACGACCGATACACACCTCTTCTGAATATCAAGACTCATTTATCTTATATATATATATAGAAGGTTGTTTGTCAAACAGCATATCTCGTTCGAAACAATGGTAATTAGTGCAGTGTGCATAATTTTCCTTGATAGAACAAATTAAATTATTTGTCGATGAAAATGTTTTGTAGAGTGGAGGGGCAATCAACATATAATTTTAGCATTTAATGCACCAGCTAAACACCATCTGTTTATTTGTGTCATTTAGTGAAACATCGAACAAAGCGTCACACAGTGAATTCCTCCATTAAAAAATGCAATTTTATGAAGATGTTTGCACCTAGTTTTAATCTCTCTGGTGAAATAGAAAAGTGCTAGAGAAGTTACTTCCCAATAAAAAATATATTTTTACCCGTTGATTCAGCCTAGGGTTTTGAAAAAATAAAAAATAAAAAAAAATGTAGCATCTTTTTGGGAGTTGGGTAGGTGGGTGGGGGTTGAGTCGATGAAGGGTTTCTCATATGGAGGAAGACATGGACCCCGTTTGGAAGGAATTTTGAGAATTGATTTTTTGACCATTAGAAGAAAGGTGGGATCCACATGTGAAAGAAGAAATAAAAAATTACGGCTGAAATAGTGAAATAACGATCAAAAAATCAATTTTTTGGAATAAAAAATCCATCCCAAACAGGCTCATGATAAAACCTAAGATGCGAGACAAAAGTTTTGAAAGATTAGAAGGGAACATTTGGGAGTATGAAAAGGGATTAGAAGGTAATGTGGGTTTATTCTGGTTTACTCACATGATGAACAAGATACACACTAGCAAACAAATACTCTATTTGGGATGTCCAAATGATCCAAGTCAATGGGTCTATTTGTACTCTGTTAGCTTCAGCACTTTTGTCTTTACACATACAAAGAAAAATTTGATTAAAAAACCCCATAAAATTTTAGGGACGGAGCGATGAGAACCCTCAAAGTTGGGGTTTAACCTTTTTAAAAAACCCCATAAAATTTGCGAGATTTGAGTTGTGTATACAGGAGAAGATTTATATATAATTTAGTTTAAGAGAATTTGATTAGATTATGCTGTATTCTGTGGCCTGTCATTTCTTAGCATTGAAAGGAAGTTTCTTTAATGTCCCTTTTCACTGAAATCATAAAAAATATATATTTATTATGTTTGTACGTGTGTGTATGAGTATTTCTCTCTCTTCTGTTAGTGTGTGTGTGTGTGAGAGAGAGAAATAGAAGCGAAGAAGGTGGGGGGAAAAGGAATCACAGAAGAGGGTCTTTCTCTTTCAAGATTTTTTAACCCGTCGTCTACGGGGAAGGAAATCAGAAAGTGTTAACACATCTTTTTTATGTTGTTTATACTTCTTCTTCTTTTTCTTTTTTCTTTTTTTTTAATCTTTATTTATTTTTTTTTTTGTGTTGATTAATGATTATAATTTTTTTTAACTTTGCTGCTTTATGTGTGTTTTGACTCGAGAAGAAGATACCTCGTTCTAGTGTCATTTTCTTAGATATACTCTCAAGGAAGAACACCAAACCCGATTCTCCCTTCTTCTTTCTCTGTCTTTCTAGAATTTCCTCTTCCTCTTGTTCCAATATTTAAACGATCGTGCTACAGTAATAGAAAATGATTGACAAAAGGGATGACCAACCCTTACAATGGTAGGGGACACTTTTTATTTTGGATTTTTTTATTCACTTCGAACCCATATACATGTGAGAGGATGTCAATCATTTGATTATTCATTTTTGAGCAAAGTAGTTTAATTCTTATTTCAATTCCCTTTGCATCTCTCTCTCTCTCTAGAATTTTTTCCACTTTTCTTTACTTCATCTCTCTTTTGATCTTTCTTCTTTAGCTTTTGAAGCATACATGTAGTAGCAGTCTTTTCATGGCATTACAATCTTTGAGGGAATTTGATCCCTCAAACTAATTTCCCAGAATCTAGAAAAAAAATTGGGTTTAATTGTTTATACTTCCTTTTTATGTCTGTTTATTCTCTCTTACTACTGTTTCTTGATATCAGATTGGATTTGGTGAGAAGATAAAAGAGATTGCACTCTCACTTTACTCCATATCTCCTAGATTTTTCAACTTTAGCCTTTATAGCACACCAAGTTGTTCCAAATTTTACAATCTCCAAACAAATTTTAATCTGTGTTACAAATCTCCCACAACAAATTTGGTGTTTCCTTTTCTATCTCCTATTTCCCTTTTCGACTTTGGATTTTAAATTATCGAGAAGAAGAAAAACTAGTTGATTTCAAGAAAATCTAGCTAGGAAAATGCCCTTGGAAGGGATTTTCGTTGAATCTTCTTCAAATCCAGTCCCTGATCTTTCTCTCCACATTAGTCCTCCCAACAGTTCCTCATCTGCAATCTGCAATGGCGGCAGTGAAGGTGCGTCGAAATTCGATCTTCCGACAAGGTGTGAAGCAAATTCATCCAAGAATTGTGATACCTTCATTGAGCTGTCTTTAGCTCACCCTGCAACTGCCGTCAACGGAGAAAGCTCGTTTCGAAGAAATTTCTACGGTGGAGGTCAAGAAGAACAACCACAAAACCCTTATCACCGTATCTACCAATCTAATAGCCAGCTAAATCACATAAATCATGGGGTTTCAGTGCTGGATGTATCGGATGGTTTAAGGCCTATAAAAGGTATTCCGGTTTATCCCAACCGTCCATTCCCTTTCTTGCCTCTGGACCATGCCAGCAAAGAGAAGGATCCAAAGATGTGCTTCTATCAAATGACTTGTCCTTCTTGGTCATCCACTATAGCATCGTCTTCTTCTTGTACGTCTTTATGTTCTCCTTCAGTTTCGCACTTGGCTTCACCTTATTTCGGTGGTGGTTTGGATCATATGTCAATTTTGAACTCGGGGCCTAACGCTTCCTCCTCGGCTTACCGAATACCCGCCGGTGGTGGCGCAAGGTTTAATGGGATGTCTTCCTCCTACCAATTTCACCGTCACCATAACCAACAGTATGGAGTAGGCCCTTCTGAAGCTTCTAATGGTATGATGAGATCAAGATTTCTTCCCAAACTCCCGACAAAACGAAGCGTGAGGGCACCCAGAATGCGATGGACTAGCACCCTTCATGCGCGTTTTGTTCACGCAGTCGAGCTTCTTGGTGGCCATGAAAGTAAAATATTTTCTCTTCACAGCTAATTTCTGTTGATTTATATTCTTATTTTTCCTTTGGATTTTTTTTTTCCTATTTTTCTATTCTTTTTTCATCTTTTTGTTTTTGTTCATTTGTTTGTGATTTTCAGGAGCTACTCCCAAGTCAGTTCTTGAGCTCATGGATGTCAAAGATCTCACTCTAGCTCATGTCAAAAGCCATTTACAGGTACCCTAAAAAAAATTAAAAAAAAAAAAATGAAAACTCACATTTCACTTCTACAGTAATATACTTTCTCCCTCTGTGGGTTTATGATGTCTGTAGAGGTCTCCGTCTATTTCTCCGGCACATTAATCGATGCCTGAAGTGAATGAATTAAAGAATAGGAGAAGTCCTAGGAGGGGCTGACAGTCAGAGCATTAGTGAGAGAGAGAGAGAGAGAGAATTGCAGTGCAGAAAAATTGTAAAATGATAACAGACAAAGCAAGTCATCATTTTTCAATAATACAGCTCATTACTGCCTTATCAAACATCAGCCTCGTGATTAATGATCAAACCAACATATGACTCAGAAGCCCAGAAATTTCTCTCTTCACAAATACTACATTCATTTGAGAGAGAGAGCGATCTGAGAGTGTTTTCACTATACTTTAATGGATTTTTAATTCTTTTTATTATATGCAGATGTATCGAACTGTTAAAACCACTGACAAGCCAGCAGCTTCTTCAGGTAATTCGTATTGCTTAATTAACTTTAACAGTCTCTTAGTTCATTTCATTGTTAGAAATGTTGGCATTTAAATACTTCCATTCTTTTAGGCAAAGCACGCATTGCATTAGAATTCATATTTGAATTTTTGGTTCTTTCTTAAAGGCCATTCTGATGGCTCCGGTGAAGATGATCTCTCCACAGTAGGCAGTGCCGGCGCTGGTGACCGGGCCACATTGCGAAGACTCATTGATCTAAGAGGCTCATCCGATGGATCTTTTCAACAAGAATGTGATTACCCTTCTACTGCTAGCACATTATGGAGCAACTCCTCAAGGTCTGCATCTCTCTCTCTCTCTCTCTCTCTCTCTCTCGTGTGTGTGTGTCTCTATATTCACACATATATTAAACAGATATATGTATGGAAGTATCTGTCAATTGTCCACGTACTGCTTTAAAATAATGGAGTAATAATGAATTCTTTTCCTTTTCCTTTTCCTTTTGCATGGTACCTTAAACTTAAAAATGCAAACTCACGTCCACCATTTTTGAAGAACAAAAGGGTGGGTTCTTGTGGCAGCTTTTGCTTTTGTTTTGTTTCATTTCGTCTTTTCTTATTTTAATCTTTGATTTTGGAAGACTTTCACCTGAGATTGGCTTACGTTGATGTAGTACTTAAAAAATAGTTGTATAATCACAATCGAAGGCTAAATTAAAAAAACAAAAAAAAGAGAAAGTAACCTACTGCTACACTTTTTCTTTTTCTCCTTGGAATTATATTATAATCTGTTTCTAAAATATTTAATTCTCAAACCCTTGTTCTTATTCTATTCACGAGGAGAAAAGGATCAGTACCTTGACTTAAGTGCTCCCCTTTTCTTAAAGTAATATTACTTATATATATGATTTCTGTGTGTATTCTTGTTTGTATATGTCTATATAGATAGAGCCATATATAGGACACTGTTTTGGAAACAGCTTCTATGCACTAAGATCATTCCTCTTTTGCAACAAAACAGTATGCTTATACTATCTAAAAATGGCGAAAAATAGAAGGCCCTAACTACTGAGAAACAACACTGTTTCCTGCTTACATGGGCTGTTCTACTTTTAATTTTTATTTCTATTTTAAGATATTGTTTCCATTTTCAGACATTTCACAAATTGTAGTCTGCTTGAAATTCAAAATGCACAAAAGAAGCCAAAAGATTTTACTGAAGATCAATAGATATTGATTAATTTATTAGCAATGTAGCATAGAATGCACAAATTTTGAGACAATATTGTCAATGTTTATCCGTAAGTTCTTTTCTAAAACAGATAAGCCCTTGATCTGTACCTCACCCTCTTATCAAAATAACTATCCTGCAGTTAAAACATACATTCCCGTGAATTCAGCTTGGTGTTCGAATGAAAATGCTGCTCAAGTAAAACAGTAGACTTAGTGTAGCTTGTCCCTGGTCAATGAGTAGCTTTAACCAAACCGGTTTAGATTGCTCCTTATGATACCAATGTAGCATAGAATGCACAAATTTTGAGACAATATTGTCAATGTTTATCCGTAAGTTCTTTTCTAAAACAGATAAGCCCTTGATCTGTACCTCACCCTCTTATCAAAATAACTATCCTGCAGTTAAAACATACATTCCCGTGAATTCAGCTTGGTGGTCGAATGAAAATGCTGCTTAAGTAAAACAGTAGACTTAGTGTAGCTTGTCCCTGGTCAATGAGTAGCTTTAACCAAACCGGTTTAGATTGCTCCTTATGATACTCACCATGAGGCCTGGATTTCAATATATTTTTCTTTTTTGAAGTCTAGTTCTGATATGAGCAATGGAGAGAAGTCACTTTTTTTTCCCCTCGAGAGGACCTCTATCTCTACTGCTCTAAAGGGGCTTAAGCACTTGGATCAAACTATCACAACATAAATAAACAAAGCCTAATTAATACCAAAGACTCACTTTATCTTTTACCACATTCCAATTAGAAACCATCATATGTTTCTTGAATTTTGGTTTCCTTCTTTATGTATGTTTCATGTATAGTGCTTTTAGAGAATTTAACACACCTTTGCAGTTTTAACCATTTATAGCTTGGCTTGTGATCCATTCACCTTGAATTTATGGATTTAATTAGCATGGAATTGTGCAAATATCATCTATAGTGCTTTTACATTTGAAACTTTTTTCTTTTTTGAAATTTGAAGCATGATTTTAGGTAAATAAACATGTTTTATCTGCGAAAGTTCCATTCTTCATTTGAATAAAGATACATAATTTTGTTAGCTGAGGTGAAAACAATGTATGTGAATAAGATATTGAAGCTGTTATACTTGTGAAAACCTAAGAAATATGTTGTTTGTGTAGCGCCTCAAACGTACCATATCGAAATTGGGATGTCACTATATAAACTGGGATAGTAAATCTAATAACACTAACAAATTTCCGTGAATTTTGTTTTTGCAGCAACAGAGAGGGCTGGCTACAAGGAAACACCAGTGACTTGAACGGTCTCAGAACATCATTTTTTCAGTCACAACAAAATGCCAGTCGCCAGATAGAGGTATATATATTCACCAATTAAATGCTGTATCATGTCACCGGTGTTTAGGAGATCATCCTATATATATATATAGAGAGAGAGAGGTACATATTTGCTTTGCATCTTAGATTAATATATCTAGAAATATTTCATAATACCTTGTGAAAGAGAAAATGCTACATTAAGGATATTGAAGTAAAGAATTAACTCAAGGAAAATTTCGAACATTGTTTCAATATGAGCAGGGAGGATAACTAAAATATTTTTGCCTCTTCTTTCCTTTGTTTCATTTGAGGTTTTCCACTCCCTTACCATTTCCTCCTCAATTTTCTTGTTGTCAAGATATATGTGCAATACTCAGCCTCCTTTTGGATACAAATTTATAAATGATTTATAAATTCAGCCAAGTTCGAAAATTAATCTCAAGTTTTCAATCATACATTCATTACTATTACTCATTATTATCCACACATTTCATGAGACCCACTACCATTTCTTTTGCTATAAATTTGCCAAATGGAGTCTTACCAAATATCAAGTTTCCTGCATGACTAATAACTGGTGTACAAGACTTTCCACGAGGGATAGAAATATTCACGATGACTGCTAATTTTATCGTTGTATATGTATTCCCCTTCACGCAATCACTCTTATCTTGTATTTCCTTTGGTAACTAATTTCTCTTTATCTTGAGCTCTTCTCTTCATGCAAGTACTGTATTGGATATGAATGACAACCTCAAAACCATTGCAGGAATGTGATTCTTCAATGCAGAAGAGCTATCAAAGGTCCAATATGGATTATAAACACCCAAGCCTAGAGTTCACACTTGGCAGACCAGACTGGGATGAAAAAGATCATGCTTGACTGATATTTTTTATATTTTGATTCTGTTTTTGGAAATGAAAAAAAGACCCGATTATATAAAGAGGTATTGGCAAGAAGAAGAAGTAGTAGTAGTAACTCTGTTTGTTGGACGTGCGATCGTATCATATTTTTGTTCCTACCATAATTTTTTTTTTTTTGGCTGCAGATGAGTCTCTAATGTAACAAGTTCAATGCATATTTTGTTGTGTTCAATATGGAAAACCAAGAACAGAAGATAAATTATGTGGAAAAGGTCCTCTTTTTTTTTTTTTTTTAAATTATTCATGCTTTTTTTTTTTCTCCTTTTCTTTCTTTAATCCATCAGATGTGGAGAAATAGAGAACTGAATATTACTATGTTTTTCCATCTCTCTCGCGCAGAGATTATCATGCCTTATTTCTCAATTTTTTTTCTTATGATTGATGGGATCTTGATAATTAAAGGAAGATTGTTAATTTTGTTTATTTGTATGAAAATAATTTAGCTAAACATAAATAGCTAAATATTGAACGTCATATATTATTGTAGGGTTTTGACATTACCCCACAAAGAACACGCTGGTAAAAAGAAAATATGCAGATCCAAAGCAACAAGACAAAAATGGAACACTGCTTAAACAACAATGCAACTAAACTAAAGCTTTATGCCTTCACAACGTAAGGAGTGAAAACCAATTTAGCGATATTTGTTCTTTCTCTCAAGCTCATGCTCCGTCTCGTCTTTCTTCCCCATTCCCCATAGATTATGGTGGCCTTTTTAATTGTATAGCTCTTCTTGTGATCAATAATCTATTACGTACACTTGAATACTTGAACCCTAGACAGTAGTAGTAATTGTAGAAGAAGAACAAGAAGTACAGTGTATTTAAGGAGATCGAGATAATAGAAGATTCCTTAAACAACATTGCAATAAGTCCCATGTCCATTTGTCCTAGGTTCAGTCATGATAACTACTTTTAAAGGTAGAGAGGTTTTAGGGTTTAATATCAACTCCATTTTTTTTGGAAATAAAGACTTTTTAGTAATAGTTTTTTTTTTATTATTATTAAGAATGTGTGTTTAAAAAGTAGGGAAAATATAAAATTTACGTGTAATTTTATTGAGAGAACTTGTGGTTGAAAATAAGTTTAGAAATTTTATTTTTTTTAAATGGAGCTAAAATAGAGGCTTAATGTTTTCTGCCTTATTTACAATTTTCGACCATACATATACAATCTCCCTTTTGGCCACACTCTATGTATGTTTGCTATTGTAATTTGTACAAATCTATGTGGCTTTGAGCCTATGTACACAAAGTACTAACACCATGTTCTATGAATACCATATGGAATAAATGTGATTGTTTCGGAAAATTTTATCGGACAAGTGTTCTTCATCATCCTTTTTCGTACTTTACATGAATTACGTTGAAGTTGCGACCATTTTGTCATCTCTTAACTTTGTCAAGCTAATGAGGTCGGTATTGACACTCGTTTCTTTTGCTATCTTGAACCCTATGTAGGTATTGGTGCTTCTATAAAACAATAACCATGCTACATGACAAGAAAAGTTCGATATCTTTTGTGACAGAATGCGACATTATGTTCTATCATTGAATTATTTTAAAAACAATCAACTTCTACATTCAGTCATTTCCTGTCATCAACACTGTCAACTGGCAAAGTAGCGTACTTCATAAAATAAAGTTCCAAAAAATATAGTTAGTAGATGTTACACCCACCTATGATGTAAACCTTGACTGGTAGTTTCAATTTATGTTTTTTTCAAATCTATAATTCTCCTTCATTAGTATTTCTAGATAAAAGGTGGTACATCCACCTACTTTTGTACGTCTTTTCATATTTATAAATTTAGAGTTAGGGGCCACACCTAGGCATAGATATATGGGCAAGTGATGGTTTTACTAAGCATGACTATAGCCATAAGATTAGTATATTCTCGCCTTATCAAATGACGCTTGAGATTGGTGGAAGATGATTTCTACTTTACAAGGTTATTCTCATCAAAGTTCCACCAATTTTTTCACATTTGGTCATGGCAAAGAGTACTAGGAGACGATTCTTTACTAGCAAGACAACATTGCATCCCAATTTGAAGAAAGTGCACTCAACATCACAAAAAAATAAAAATAAATAAATAAATAAAATAATAATAATAATTTAAAATTGGACAAGCTTACTTTTAAGCATGGTATAATCAAGTGCTGTAATTTTTATGGTTCGATTTTGAAGATAGAACCTGATTTGAAAAAGAAAAAAGAGAATATTTATTTAGTGAAAATCAGAAAAATTTTGAATTCGAGGATTATGGGCTTTTTAATCTTTTATCTTGGACTTTAAGCATTGAATCATTTCTGTTCAAACATTAGAAGGCCCAATTGGCTAACGTGGGTTGGGTTGAGGTTTGTATGCATAAAACCCTTAAAGGAATTTCACCATTGAAACCTTCTTCCTGCTCTGTAAGCACCCCCATTCTGTGCTCAAGTAATTCTCCATCCTTTATTTGCTGAAATTTTTTGTATGTGTTAGAATTATAGTCACACAATTTATAATATTTTTTGATAATCTAAAAAAGCAAAGATTTTAAGGGAAATTAGATGATGAGAGCTGAATTATTATAAAATTTGGAAGGTTCTATCTTTTGAAAGAACCCATTTGATTTATGAACACTTGACTTTCTTGATTGTTAATATTAAAATTTTCTGAACTATGTACAGTTTTTCTTACAGATTTACATATTTCTTTGTCTTCTTACATGTAGGAACTTTACTCTGTTAACTGATTCATTTGTGGAGGGAGAAAAAACCGGTAAAATGCCATTGGGGCTGATAATGGGAATTGGGAGGGCGTTCAGGAGAAAGCGTACGTCTTCGCTCGATATTCTCACCTCGAAAAGGAGTCCGCGAGGTTATTACAAGGGAAAGAATTGCAAGCCCACTGGTTTCCACACTCGCAAAGGTATATTTTTCTGTACTTTGTTTACATTTCTCTGTCTTTACATTCTGGATGGTTAATGTGTTTTTCTTAGTTTTAGTTTTCCTCTTTGATTGCGTCATCAAGTATTTGGTAGGCTTTTAGATGCTTTATCCTCTTTGAATATATCAAGATCACTTTGTCATATCTCTACACCTAAATGAGTTCTCAGTCTAATCATATTTCTTTGCTGTGCTACAACATGGTAAAATTTTGTTGTATTGCTATTGATTTATCAAATGATATGGTAATCACTTGAGAAATGCTTTCCAGTGCTACGGTGTCCTTTCTATCTGGATCTTTCAGTATATTGTGAACAGTGCACACTAGGATGGAATTGTGATCTTTGGGTTGACAGTGATCAACATTTTTACATATTTTGGTAACATTTGTAAACCCAGCTAAACTTGATCCTAGACCAGTCTAGAGCTTCCAAAATAGTGCAAACTAAGCACACTGCTATAGAGTTTTCCTGGTCAACATTATTACAGATTTTGATGACCAGCTGTTCATTACAGGCTATATTAGGCTGACAAATGAAACAGGGAAAGGAAGGAAGTTTAGTTTATGGGGTTTCTGGGCATTTAAGTTGATTTAGATGATAACTTTGTTGAGTCAGGTATTTAGTTAAGTCAACTACATATAAGTTGTAGAAATCAGTCATCATCCAACAGAATTGGGCCTTTGCCAACTTATTTCAAGGTTAGGCTTCTGTTACTTTAAAATTAAATTCAGGCCTGCGTGTCATTATTATTGTTTTACTGTAGTTCATTGAAATATTGTTTCTTAATTTTTGTTCTTCTCAATGAAAGCGTAATTCACTTTTATTAAGTGAAAAAAAAGGGAAAAGCAGGTTGCAGATTTTTATAAATGATGTCCACTTGCAAAATCTTGGCTAAACTATGATATTCCACAATACAGTGGAGAAAAAAGGCCTCAAAATTTTGGAGATGATGTGGCTTAAAATATGCTTGGCATGAAACTTCTCTAAGGGGTTAGATTATGCTCCCGTTTGGTTTTAACATTAAAGGTGCTAGCTTTGGAGATGATCGAATCTTTGGTTTGACAATGGGGAATTGAGATAGTAGCTGTGAACTCTGTTATTTAGTTAGTGACATACTGTGTACTCGGAGTCTTTTTGAGATTTCCAAACTTTCAGGTGCAGTTATACTAAATATGTTCGTTTCTCCACATTAACAGTTTAAATTCACGCAGATGTCTCGTTGTAGTTTGACCAAATTGAAAAATTATCTAAATAAGCTTCTTAATAATCGTTTTCCTCAATCTTTGGATACAGGTGGTTATGTTGTGGTACCTGAAAAGTTGCCAAACTATGTAGTACCAGATTTGACTGACTTCAAGGTAATTTTTCTAAATATATTTTCTTTCTTTTCATTTCAAATTCATGCATAAACAATCTTAATAATATAATTCTTCAGTGTTTCGATGATTTACAGCTGCTGTTTAAATTGAAGCATAAAGTGATTGTATCACCCATTAAAGGAAATGACATTTCTATCACTAAATTGTCTTATTTTCAGTTCTCATCCAGTCTTCCTTTGTTGGGGACGATAATCCTGTTGTTTCTTTAAATAAATTAGTGGGTATGATAATGTCCTGGGTACTGGGGGTGGGGCTATTAAAATTTCTCTCTGAAATCAGACAAGTAAACTAAAGGGAAACTGATGGTAAAGGGCCTGAATTTCAAACCTCTGTGAGGCTGAGGCAATCTTAAAATGAATACTCCTCTTGGGTTTTAAAAAACCAATAAAGCAAACTTTGGCTACTGCATATATGTATAGGAGGCAGTTCCTAGTTAATAGATATAGAGATTGCATAAGCTGGGATTCTACTTGGTGCTGCAATAAGATTTGTTTGTAGAATCTGGTTTTGATGGGATACAACTGTGACAAAGTTAATTGGATCAGGAATACTCAAAAATATCAGTTATATATTACAATGGGGTAATTGGCGCAAAACGTCCATACCTTTCAGCTTAATTGTAGAAAACGTCCCCACCTTTCATTTTTTGGAATTTTTGCCCTCAAATCAACCTTTCGTTGCGATGAAGGTCCTTCCGTCCAAATTCCATCCATTTTGCCGTTAATTAGAGAGAGAGAACGAATTTCTTTCCACTCAACAGGGGTAAAATTGTCTTACCAATTGAAAACCCTCATTTTCTTAATTTCCTTCTTCACACTTCATAGCCCAAATGGTTCTCATTCTACTCTCTTTCGGTTCTTCAAAAATTTCCATTTATCTTCCATTTCAACAATTATTGCTCCATTCTCCCCTCAAATCTCTCTGTTGTTTCAGTTCTTTATCAACAACCAAAAATACACTAAATATTAGAATCAAGCTAATCCACACTCTAAATTATTCCGAGAACCAAATAAAACCACTTTTAATTTCAAAAGAACTTACACGAACCTCTTCAAAACATAATCTTCAAAACTCTGTAACGAAAGCTATTATATTCAAGGTACATATAGAAAAATGACTGAATTTTAGAGAGAAGAGAGTGAGAATGGAAGGTTTCTTGGTGAAAGCTGCCTTGTAGAGTGATAAGTGGTCACATATTTCAAGAAATAAGTGAGTAGACAAAGAAAAATAAAATTGGGATTACATTTGAAATGAATTGTATCTATTTTGCTTCGGTTTTCGATTATTTGGTGTGTATCAACAGGTGGTATATAGAAGAAAATAGGGAATTCTCTCGCTAAATTTTTTCTAAAAGTTAGGGACTTTATTCGCAAATATTTCTAAAAGGTAGGGACTTTATTAGCAAATATTTCTAAAAGGTAGGGACTTTACTCGCCAAACTTTTTATAGGTAGGGATGTTTTAAGCCAAAATTATAACTACGTAGGGATTATTAGCGCAAGGTTCATTCGACTCCCAGAAGAAGTGAACAGGACCCGTTCATCTTCACCAACAAGCCAAAATGGGTTATTCACCATTGAACTGATACATATAACCGATACATACTTCACAGCACCCATTTTCACTCTATCTCCTCAATTTACCCCATGGTCACAATAAGCATAAACTAAAAATAAATATCTAGCAGTCATCTCTACAAATTGACCACCCATTCAATATATATCTTACTACATTTTTCTTAAAACCAAACATAAAAGCAGCAGTGATGGTTGGATTTCACCACTATATATGCTCTTTAATTAAATACATTTTTTTCCCTTATTTAATGTAATAATTTAAAGTATTTTCACACCCATTTTTTAACTACTATTATATATATGGACTACGTAGAAGGCAAGAATAAGGAGTTCAATGGGTTAGACGGTTTTACCCCTGTTGAGTGGAAAGAAATTTGTTCTCTCTCTCTAATTAACGGCAAAATGGATGGAATTTGGACGGAAGGACGTTCATCGCAATGAAAGGTTGATTTGAGGGCAAAAATGCCAAAAAATGAAAGGTGGGGACGTTTTCCACAATTAAACTGAAAGGTAGGGACGTTTTGCGCCAATTACCCTATTACAATGTAGAATCAATAGCTTTCTTTACTACTATGATTTCTGCTGCAAATAAAGATGAGGAAAGTACACATGTATGGACAGAGCTTCTTTATTTACAAAATATCATTTGTGGACAATCTTGGATTATTGTTGTTGTCATCCATACAGCAAGAAATGTGGATGACATTTTCTAGCGTTCAAACCAGTCCTGTTGCTATGGCTTCTGACGGTGTTATTAGTGTGAACTTGGGAATTGATGCCTTCCAAGCAAAATGGTCCTTGTTCTGGTGTAACGAAATAGATTCTTGCTTAGGGTATGTAGGGAGCTTGACAAAATCATGGCATATGAGGTGGTTTACTCACGTTGAAGACTTGAAGCTGATTTTGGTCCCCTTTGATCTTGGATCACCTTTAGCAGTTACTCTCAACAAAGGATCATATTTTGGTCCAAATCCCTTTAAATCTTTTTGCTTATTGGAGGCAAAAGCCTTGATTTAAGGAGCAGCTCGTGGACTTGTGGACTCTTGAATGCACTGGATTCCCTATACTCCAATTTTGTGCTAAATTTTGAAGATTGACGGTTGAATTATGAAATTTTATGCAAGTCGTAGTTCATTTATGGGACTTCGATAATCTCACTGGATACAACACATTTCTCAGTTGGCTTGATTGTTTAGAAAATTCTTTGAATTTCATAATTTAAATGACTCTCATCGTCTTTATCATGCTAATATGGCACTTGTGGGATCGACTAGATGTTTCTGGAATTCCTTTTTGCATAACATTGATATCCTAGGTCAATGTCCTCACTCCATGGGATGAAATGAAACGAATATTAAGTAAAAGCATCTCCAAGAGACTCTTTAAATATGAGATGTTCTCAATTTTAGCGAGTCAACCTTTAAAATCATAGTCCAATGGACTCTTTAAATTAACATTTTAATTCAGAGAGTGAGGGAGAGCTAAACTCACTCTATAATTAAATGCATTCAAAGTGTTTCAATTTTCATTGTAGGAAAATAATAAAATAATTTAAAGAACAGTTAGTTAAAATAAAAGATAGAGAAAAATAATAAATATTTTTTGAGAGTAGTAAAGTTAAATGTCAAATATAAAGAGCTTGTTGAAGTACTTCAAAATTTTATCTTCTACATTGATATATCTCTCCAAATGATAGAATATGTATTTTAAAAATAGAGAATTTTTTGGAGATACTCTAACAAATATGCTCCTATGTATTATCAATCCCAATTGCTAGATCAATTCTTCTTCAACTATAAACAAGGTACATCTACCGTTAGTGAATATCTAGGGCATTTCAAAGAGGAATTTCCCTACATTACAACGTCTAGCTTCATCAAGGGTTTGAATTTTGAAATCATACATCATGATATTCCAATACTCCAATCCTTAGATGAAGCTTACCGACAGGTCAACCTATAGGACATGTCCTTCCATGTTCACCAAGCATGTCATGAGCTCAGTGTACCTTCCCAATCCAAACAGTCACCTCTCGAGTCCTAATGTATTTCTCTTGCGTAAGATAATGAGGTTTTTGTTGTTGAGCCAATTGAATATTATGACAGCAATGATGAGGAATTATCTATGGTGTTATCACTTGAGTCAAACCTACGTACCTTCGATTTCATGCCAGAGTTTATCTTGTTTGATGCTTTGTGTGAATCTAACATGGACTTTGATATGGCTTTACCTCTGCTCTATGATATTCCTCGGTTTGTCATGTTTTCTAAGGTCAGTGTTCACACTTTTTTCCCATCGTCATTTGATTGTTACCTACTAATTATCGTCATATTGCTTTAGCTTCGTACTTTGTTGATTTTCATGATGAGTTTAAACGACAAATTATTATCAATCATGAATATGATGAGTTTGCATTTGACACACTAATTAGGCTGATTTTTACACCTTGTTGTGTGTTTCTTTAGCATGGTTTCCTAAACATGTAAAGAAAAAAATTGGATTATTCACTTGAACTCAATGTGTTTTACTAACCGTTGCACTTAAATGAAAGCTTTGTTTTCAATATAGCAAAAATATTTTCATGTCAAAATACATTCGAGCCATCGTTGTTGCACTTATCTGTTTCCGCAAACCTGTCTATTGTACTAGTGCATCATGCTCATCATATGGTTCTTGTGGTTGTTTTTGTAAATGAGTTGAACATGTTACTCACTGGGGTTCCTCATCGATATTTGGTTAAAAGGAAGGATCATCCCCCTCGGTCAGATCAAATACTTGGGATTGAGTTTTAGATTCAATTGCATTCACATAGTTAGTTCCGTTTTTCGATCAGGAAGAAAGATTACCCTCCTTAGTTAAGGAGTTACAGTCTATCTCGTCGAAATCAAATTCTCTCAGCGGGGGAGAAATGATGCAATCTTATAATAGATATTATATTATTTAGTTTTCAATTTTAAAGCTTATTTTAGTAAGCACAATTTTGGTTTGATTTTATAGTATTTCCTCGCTTAGAATGTGGTCTTTTGAAGTCCTATATATATGGGCTTATGCAATGTAATTCATACAACCTTTGAATGAAAAATGATTGGTATTTTTTACCTAACTTCTCTTTCGTCTTTCTAGTTCTTCTCCCCTTCCTACCTCCCTCTTTCTACCTTTCCCTCCTCCTCTCTTTTTTCTCTCCCATTTGACCTTCTCCTATAATTCTCCTATTGCATCCGTCATCAATTGCATTGTTGTAGGTTCTATCTACATTCTGGTCACCTTGTTTTTAATTTACCATATATAGAGCATCGGAAACTTTAGCTTGAGATGAGGGACCATGTATATATGTGATGCCCTGGTCTTAAATTCCCAAATGTCACTAAAACTTTACTTAAAAAAAATTTGTAGTAACAAAAAAAAGTACTAATGTATGGAATTATCAACAACAAAAGGAAAAGGCTCGTGATTAAGACCATTCATAATAATAAGCCAATCTTTGAACAAAGTTGAGGTTTCGACAAGTTTAACTAAGTCCCTCTGTGGGCCCCATTGTTTAAAACTTATTTTCAACCACACATTCTTCCATTAAAATAATTTTGCACAGAATTTCCATAAATCCATGTCTTAATGACTATTAAGGGTCTTCCAATGGATTATGCTGGACTTGTGATTGCTTTTTGTGAAAATAATCAAATATCAATCCTGCTATAATTTCCTTTTCATTTGAATCTTAAGATGGTTAGGAAGTCTCTCTCATAAAAGGTGCTTATGCTCTTTTATTTTATTCTTGTTTGCAGCTAAAACCGTATGTATCCCAGTGTGCTAGAGAAGGTTCCGAGGCTGCTGATTCAGCTAAGTAAATTGGTTGAATGTTGAAAATGTTTTGATTAATCAGTAATTAGGTATTATGAGAAAGATTGTTCATGGGTACCTTCAACCCTTTTGCCTTTTTTAGGAAATTCTATATATTCTTCGTTCTGTTAATGAGTACGGATTTTGTTGGCATTCATTTTCGCATAAAACATCGCCAACTCATTTCAGACAGTTTTCTTAAATCAAAATGCCGAATAGAGAAATTAGGCATAATCCAGAAGCTGTGATCAACGTTCTTAGGGCTCGTTTGACGCGACTTCTACAACATATTATAAAAGACCTTTTTGAGAAATTTATCTTGATTGGTATTTGAAAATTGACTTCTAAAAGAGATTTTAGAGAATGACGCACGGGGGCAGCTTTCTTGAAAAGCTCTTCTGACTAAAAGCTAGAAGCACTTTTATAAAATTAACCCATCGAGTTTAAAATCAGCTTCTAAATCTCAATAGCTCATTTCAACTTCTCAAAAGTCATATCAAACAACTATTAATCTTGCATTAGCTTCACCTTTTTTTCTATGAAGCTAGAGAACTAATTATGACTTCTAGGTTCACTGTGAGAAGGATTTTAATTGTTTCCTTTTGCTCATCCTTATCTAGATCATGTTCGGTGCATTATACTAGATCGAACAAGAATGGACAGTATAATTTTACAGAACGTTTAACATATTAAACAAGTAGTACGGAAATAGAGTTTCTTTAAATTATGTCAAGTATTAACCCTTGTTCGAGCCCAATTTTTGTTGGGGAAAATAGTTTTGGAATAGTGATTTTTTGAAAAATGTGTAGTTAACAAATAAAAAAAAGTTTTGAATGTATGTATAAAATTCTTTTATGGGAGAATGTGGTTGAAAATGAGTTTTCGGAAAATGGAAGTCAAACATAGGCGTAAAAATGATGGCATGCAATTATTTCATGAGTGATGTTATTCGTCTTCAATGGAGATGATTACTCATTTGTGTGACAGTAAAATTAGAGTTAAATGTTTCAGTGGCAAGTGAACTTTACACCATGTCATGATTTACTCATTGAACTTCATTAATCGTCCCATTATTCACTAAACTTTGCTTCGTCTCATTCCATAACTCATCGGATGGAATCGGTTAGTAGATTTGCCTATGTGGATAATGAAAAAAGGACGTGACTATTTAAATTGTTAAATTTCATGCCAGCTCACCACCATATCAACAATTATCCCAAAAACTTCACACCAACTCACCAGTTTGTAGAAAGGAAAAATGACATTCAATTCCCCAAAATCGGTTGAATTTGCAACAAGAACACAAGGAATCCCAAATCCGACAGAGAAGAATATGTAATCAGTAAACGTAAAGGTAAATTGTGACTTTGATTTGAAGCAAGTAAAATTTTATCCATTTTCAGTAACTAGTGTAAGGATTGAAAGTTAATTTTCGTATCTTTGATATTTCATCTTCAATTTGGGGGAAATTTTGAAATTGCGCAAGGAGAAATCCACCAAAATCACGCCCAAATTGTAATCCAACTCGAAGGTTCGATAGTCAAGACTTTTAATGCAGAATTGATTTCGAAGCTCCATCTTCCCCGCCATGATTTTGGTTTGTGCAAAGTGAAATTTTCGTCCACTTCCGCGCATAGACGATCAGATTGTTGGTGTTAGGAAGTTTGGTCAAGTGGAACTTATTCCTATTGATCATGGCCTCCGCTTGCCTGAGTTTGGATGATCCGTATATCGAGTGGATTCATTGGCCTCAAGCTTCAATACCATCTGAGATGATGAACTCGAGCATATAGAAAATCTTGATCCTATTCAAGACTCAATATGTTGTGAAGAGAGATCCCATGGTTCGTGAGGCTCGTCTACTTGTCTTGGTCCTATCTACAATTTCCCTTAAAGAAGCTGCTGCATAAGGGCTACGCCTTGCTGATATAGGTGAGATGATGAGTAGGGAATTCCACAATATCGAGGAGGAACCTAGTGAGCTTGAGATTATATGCATCGAGGCAAGATTCCAAGGCTGACGCTGATGGTGAGGAATATCAATTTGATAAAGATTACGATGATTTTGGATCTTACTTGACCCCAAAATTGGCCAGTTTTGAGTGTTGTGCCTGCCATATGTTGCTATTGCCATCGGAAGATAAGATGACATGCTTATTGAATGATTTGTAGCGTAATTTGGCTTTGTGGTTTCTCGTAGAAGTTGTTGGAGTAGAATACACTGGTGTTGTGCTTCGAATATTGTAACCGCAGGACACAAGCTTAATTCTTGTATAAACCACAAGAATTACCAAAACGGAAATTGACCCAACCTATATAATAGAAGAAAATAATTCCATTTTATTGTTCCACAGAAGTCGGCCAAAAACAGAATTGTGCATAGCTGCAATTCAAAACTAATGGAGACTTTGTCAGAGACAAGAAATGCCACAGTAAGAGAAGTAAGAACTATTGCATGACATGGCATCAAATAGAAACTTCAATTGTCAACTATTTGACACAGAATTTATCATAATCCACAAGATTATGTTCATGCACGAGGTTCGTTATCAACAGCAAGCTCAACAGATACAGTCAAAGGTTGTCACAATCCAGATATGAAAAGTTCAACAGCAATTGTGCCTTAATTATTTTAATCACAATCCAGTTAAAACCAAAAAGTATAAACACAGGCTAATATAAAATAATCCAGCCAACAAGAAGGATGAACTGAGACAGGCCTTCATTTAACAACTTCTAAAATACTTGTGTCAATTGTCACACTAGGACTTCCAACAGAAACAAATTTCTTCGAACTTCATCTTGCTTCATATTAGCAAATTAAGTTGAATGTGTGCTTCCGAGTGTACACCGCATCGGTTTTGACTTTGATTTCTTCGAACTTCATCATGTTCGTGCCCTTTGCGATATGACATTCTAAGAAGTCACCTCATCTATGTCTACTAATTCTTCCTCTGTTTCAATGAAGTTGATTTCCTGGGTTGGCACATGGGCTGCAACATTCTGTCCAGCTTCATTTACATTTTGTTTGGGGTGCACAGCTGCTGGTTTGGAGTGAATGCATCCTGTTTGTCCATGGTGATAGGCATAAACTGGAAACCCATCTCTTGCACGGAGTTAAAAAATGATCTATATTTCTTGGTGTTTTTATTCACATTTACAGACGCCCCAGCTCAAGGAATTTATACACATTACAATGAAGAAAAACTTGGGGAATAAGTTACAAGAAAATTTTAGAATATACAGCTGGAGCAATATCCTTGAATCATGATTGTGAATGGAATCCACTAATAACAGAATTCTTGCAAGCATCAGAAATTGCTGATAAGCTGATGAGACAATAGGGGAGGAAAGCTGATTAACTGATGGATTCTTGAGCTGAAGGTTGACTTAACACCTCCTCTCAAGCTGGACGGCACCATTGTAACTCCAAGCTTGTCCTTCAGAAAATTGAATTTGGAATGAGATAGACCTTTAGTCAGTAGGTCTGCAACTTGGTCTGAAGAAGGAATGTATTTCACTTCCAATTCCTTTCCAAGCACTTTGTCTCTTACAAAGTGAACATCTAGTTCAATGTGTTTTGTTCAGGCATGATACACGGGACTGAATCCAAGCAATTTCTGAGGCTGCAGATGCAAGGGCTCTATATTCCGACCCTGTGCTTGATCTGGCAACTACATGCTGCTTCTTTGATGACCAGGCTATCAAATTATCCCCCAAATAGATGCAATAACCAATTGTAGATCTTCTATCATCCGGACAAGAGGCCCAGTGTGCATCTGAGTATCCATTCAACGTTAGGTTGTCATTGTTTTGTATCCACAACCCTTGATTCATGGTTCCTTTCAGATATCTTAGGACTCTTTTCAATGCTTGCCAATGTGTTGATGTTGGTGACTGTAAAAATTGGCTCAGTTTATTTACAGTAAAGGTGATATCTGGTCTTGTGTGTGAGAGATATTGGAGTCCTACTGCACTTCTATAAATTGAAGGATCTTGCATAGCTTCTCCATCAGTTTTAGATATAGTTTTGTTAGTGATGACGGGAGTAGGAAAAGGCTTTACATTTTGGAGCTCAAATTTCTTGAGTAATTCAGCAATGTACCTTGGTTGTGTAAGATGAATACTCGATTCATGCCAACACATTTCAATTCCTAGGAAATGGTGGAGCTGTCCCATGTCTTTGAGTACAAACTTTTTGTTTAGTTCATCTATAAACCTTTGCAACAACTCTTTGTCATTCCCAGTTATCACTATGTCATCAACATAGATAAGAGCAAATATAATATGAGTTTCATTCTTGAAGTAGAACAACGATGTATCAGCTCTTGATTGCTTGAATTTCCAGCTTACTAGTGTGGTTTTCAGCTTGTCGTACTAGGCTCTAGGTGATTGCTTTAGTCCATAAAGTGCTCTTTCTTGTTTGCACACGAGACGGTTTTGAGCAATCTATGAATCCCTCAGGTTGGTTCATATATGCTACCTCTTCAAGTTCTCCATTCAAGAAGGCATTGTTGATATCCACTTGCCTGATGTTCCATCCTTTAGACACTGCAAAGGTAAGGATAATTCTTGGAGTGGATGGTTTGATGACTGGACTAAAAGTTCCATAGAAATCAACTCTAGGGGTCTAATGAAATCCTTTTGCCACCAATCTTGCCTTGAACTTCTGAACTGACCCATCTGAGTTATGTTTCACCTTGAAAACCCACTTGTTTCCAACTATGTTGTAAGATGGTGATGGAGGTACAAGTTTCCAAGTTTTATTTTTTACCAGTGCTTTGAACTCTTCTTCCATAGCTTCCCTCCAATCTGCATTCATTAGGGCCTCGGTGACATTTTTTGGTTCTGTGCTTCCAGGATTATATTCAGTTGAGTGCCTTGCATATACCTTTGGTTTGAACACTCCGGCCTTTCCTCTGGTAATCATGGGATGATCTGATTGATCATTGGTCTTTTGCTTGTGCCTCTGTCTCAACTCATTGGTAACTTACTGTTGATTATATGTGTGATCAACATTATTATCTGATTCAAGTATTTCACAATTCTATGGCAAATCAACTTCTGCTTCTTCACATTGCTTGTTAGTATCGCTAACTGGCTCTTAAGGAAAATTTCATTATCTCTTTCATTGCTGTCAGGCTAAAAATTGTTACTTAAGCTAAGAGGTAGGCAATGCATGACATGGGTTGCATCAAGAGGAGCAAGATTTGGAACAGGAGTTGAGTTGTTTGGTTGATGGGGAAAGTGAAAACACGATACTATTTTTTCATGTATAGCAAAATTTGACCCCTTTTCTGTATAGAATACAAACTCGAAAGGAAACTCAGATTCATTGAATACCACATGTCTCGAGATGTACACTTTTCTTGTTGAGCTTAGACACTTGTAACCTTTGTGAGACTCACTATAGCCAACGAAGACACATTTGGTTGAATGGAAGCTGAATTTATGTGCTTGGTAAGTTCTTAAGCAGGGATAGCAAGCACACCCAAATGTTTTGAGTGCTTCACATTCAACTTTCTTTTTGTGTAAGACTTGAAATGGGGATTGCATTTTGAGTGTGGGTGTAGGCATTCTATTTATAAGGTATGTGGCTATTTGAAATGACTCCCACCAATATTTTAAAGGTATTTTGGCTTGAGCTAAGAGGATCAGTCCTATTTTTGTTATATGCCTGTGCTTTCTTTCTACTCTTTATCAGATAGATAGCAGCCGATCTAAGCAGCTTTGGAGCCTGTTAAACCACCGAATTAAGCCACGCTTCAAAGGTTGTATGACATCCTTTATCAGATTAAACAATATGTGTTCTTTTGGAGTACATGTATCTTAAATCAAAAAAATTCATTATGGGCTCATTACATCTTTGACGTATTTGGTATATTTAAGAATTGTTGGTTGTAAAGCAAGTAAATATTGAATGGCCAACATTTTATTTGAATAATTTGTATTCTAAGGTATTAGCGTACTCTGTTTTATATTATAGGTATTAAATTGAGGAAATTTGGTTAATGTCCAGGTTGTTTTAGTTCATATTTTAGGGGAAACTTCGTTAAAATTTTGTTAAAAATATTTTTCAATCAAACAAGTCAAATTGCCTTGGTGGTGGGTCCAACTCTTAGCTGGTATCTACCATCAGCACACAACACGTGTCGGATCTACTAGAATGATTCGGACGGGTCGTGTCATCAAGTGTTAAATACTAATATGTGAGATATGCAATCTATTTCCATTGCCAACAACAATTTTTTTCTTACCAATGTACTCACTTGCTAAATTTATATTTCCCACTTCTGCAGTGACATGGTTGTTGGCTCCTGTGTCTGCAAACCAGGCAGATTCACTTACAATGCTGGGAGATGCCACTAAGGCTATTGGTGATGAGAGTATATAGTTCATCATATCTGAAGTTGCAGATATTTGCCTTGTGTCCAATTTTGCCACATACTTGACAGATAGGTTTGTCACTGCTGTTGAAGCCACCACCTCTGTATCTACCTCTTCTTCCTCCTCTGTTAAATCTCCCACCATTGTTTGGCCTGTAGACTCTGAACTGATGGGTGTTTAATCCTGGTTTTTGGGTGAAATTGATTGATGTTTGATTGAGGTTGATTTCTGTCATTTCATTCTTCACAGCATTGAGATGTTCAAGCCTGCTTTCAAAGGTCATGAGAGTTGATTGGAGCTCTCCCCAAGAGATAGAATCCCTGCTGTTGATTTGAACAACAACGGGAGTGTATTCTTCATCCAAGCTAACCATCACTTGAGTTACAAGATCTGAGTGAGGAATGGGTTTTCCAGCGATCTCAAGATTGTCTGCCAGAAGCTTTACTTTGTTAAGGTATTGATCGATGCTCATGGTTCCTTTTCTCGATTTCTGATGTTCACCCATGAGAAATGTTATCCTGGATTTGTTTTGGATGCCACTCTCTTTCACTGCAGTCCACAGTTTGTTAGAGTTACTACACTGCAGCCCATGACCCTCATGGCTATATCAGGGGTCATTGATGAGTAGAGCCACCCCATTAGCAGCTGATCTGTTGACATCCACTGGTCATATTCAGGGTTCTTTTTCATCTCAACTACCATTCCTGCATCTCCAGTGATTTGGGTGCCAATGAATTCTGGACACACCTTTGTCCCCAGAATGTATCCTTCCAAATTGTGTCCTTTTATAATGGGGAGGATCATGTTTTGCCAAAGCAGAAAGGTGTTCTTGTCCAGCTTGACAGACAACATTTGGGTTAGGTAGACACCAGATGGTGGGGAGTGGTTGCTTCCCTGCACTGGAGGCACCGCTGTGCTTGATTCAGATGTTGGAACTGGAGGAGAGTTGGAATTGGCGTTGGCCATTGCAGCTTTGATACCAAGTTAAAAAATGATCTATATTTCTTGGTGTTTTTCTTCACATTTATAGACGCTTAGACGCCCCAGCCAAGGGAATTTATACACATTACAATGAAGAAAAACTTGGAGAATAAGTCACAAGAAAATTCTAGAATATACAGCTGGAGCAATATCCTTGAATCATGATTGTGAATGGAATCCACTAATCACAGAATTCCTGAAAGCATCAGAAATTGCTGATAAGCTGATAAGGCAATAGGGGAGATAAGCTGATTAACCGATGGATTTTTGAGCTGAAGGTTGACTTATCTTAACACACGGGGGTTCGTTAATAGATGCTCCATTCTCTCTGGCCACAACAAAGGTCGCTCTGTGTTGCAAAGGGCTCTAATCGGAATCAATCGTATAGGAATTTACAATAATGAGAACATTGGGATCAAAATGAAAGGTGCAGAGTAGTGGGAATTTACTCACATCAGAATATGCATCCGAGTAAAACATGCCCTCAATCAATTTCAGAAATCCTGGCAAAACAGGCATGAAACCATTCTAAAAAACTATCGCTTTCCATTTTCATTGACAGAATACGCATTGAATTTTAACGGTACTTCAGCAGAGCAGTAAATATAAGCAACTTCAAATGGAAGAACTAGTCACAATCTCATTTACCCATCTTCCATCACTATAAACAAATGAAGAACCTCAATAAATGGAAAATGAAAGAGAAGCTCGCCCCAGGTAGTTCGAAACACGTTAAAATAGTATCACAAAATGGGTTGGGAATTACCTTCATTTGGTCCCTCCATGTCCACTTCAATTGACGGTCCGAGAAGATGCACAACCTTGTTAAACTTCTTCAGACAGCCGTGACTTCACGTTCGGATTTAGGGGACGTCGATTTGGAGGGTTCTTCTCCAAGGACTTCTCTTCCAATTGATTTCACTTTGGTTGGGTTAAGTTATGCCAGTTGTATATAAAAATGGCACATAAAAAATTATATATGTTGTGGGGAGAAAAAATTGTATGAAAATTTGACTATATTTAAATTAACAAATGATAGAGCGACCTTTAGCCCCCGTTTGGTCCCATTAATTTTCATTTCATTACATTCTATTTTTCTCTATATTATTTTCAATCACACAATTTTTCATAAAATAATATTATACGTAAATCGAAAACCTTTCTTTCTTTTTCAACAATTTATTTTTCAAAAAAAATACTATTTCACCCATTTTCATTTCGAAAAAATGGGGGCCAAACGGGGGTTTAGTATTATGTAATCTATTATATAAAATTTTATGTATAGGTAACAAAGTCCTTGATTAAAGGAGAGGCGTGTGCATTTGACTAGATAGATTTCATGACTTGTCCTTCACGTTGGCGTCTCATTGACTGAGTTAAATGCCACGTTTTATATCCATTATCAACTTAGGTAAACGGAGAAACGAAATCCATCTGGTAAGCGATGGAGTGCACGAATTTGAAGTTGAGTCGCCAAGTGAAAAACATTGTAAAGTTGGATGAGCAAGTCATGATATTAGGCAAAATTCGATAGCCAATGAAATATTCAACTCATAAAATTACTATCATATCATTCATAACGATTACAATGCATTTATATTAATCTAACAATGTGACAATGATCCGAGCCGTTGTTATACCTACAATTCTAAAAACAAGATATGGTGTTGGTGGCAGATTATTAATTATTTGAAGAAACCTAAAAATGCAATACATAGTTGTCGGTTCAAAAAGATATGGACGGTGTTAGGAGAATTTTTTGCTACTTTTCATTATTCTGTTGACTAATAAGTCTTAATTTAACAACAGGCAAAGATTAGGTTTGCTTGTACAACAAATTGCTCCTACGCCACTAACAAATGTCGGCATCTTAATTGGACAACGTGTTTCTTTTATGTCCTAAATTCACAAAAAATTATCCAATATTAGAACAAGCAAATCTTATTTTTTGGTCGGTTGAAACACATCTCGTAATTTATCTCCCTCATAAAACTCTGAAGACGAGGTGGTGGGGGCCCTTAAAATTGGGGTTCAACCTTTAATATAACAAGTTAATAGAAATAAAAAATAGAGAGGAGTAAACAAAAATTAATTTGTTCTCCTATGGTTAATAGCAGATCCAACACCCGGTGAGCTTCAACTGCCACTCGTGTTGAATCCACGGGAATTAATTTCTTTTTATCAATGTATTATAAAAAGATTAATCATTAGAAATAGTGCAACAATAAAGATTCGAACCTACACTCTCCTTTATAATTATCGAAAACTGGACCACTATTGCATTTAATTGATGTTAAAGTTCAATGTAACAAAAATATATATGTTAAATTTTAGCAAAGTAATTGATATATGCTCTCTTTTTTCTTTTTCTTTTTTTTCTTTTCTTTCTTAAACTAAATTTCAACCTTTTAATGGCTCAATGGTTAAATCATTGACTCGATGGCCTGATCATTTGTTCGGGTCAACGATCGGACCGAAAATGATAACTATGTTTTGAAGAGTGAAAGAATAAAGAAAAAGAAAATTAAATTGACAATTGACATTTATTGAAGTCCTATAATTTATTTGATTTAATCTTCTCATTAGAAATAATTTAATCGGCAAAAAAAAAAAATAGCAATTCGGATAACCATTGACACAAATTTTTCTTCACACGTTCAACGACAAAATCTTTCTCATCTTTAAAACTTTGAAATACTCTTCTTTTTCATTTTTTCAATCGAACCAAGAAAGTAAGTAATTTTACCAATTTTTCAACTTGAAATTCTTACGCAATAAATATTATTAAACTGGTAGATAACGTTCATCCATACTTGCTATTTGAACTACAATACAAGTAATTTCAATTAACGTTATTGATTTTCGTTGTCGCCGTTAATGGTCAATGGTCAACGACATCCCATGCTTCCTCGAAATTCTAGATCCACCACTGCCTATGGTTGTAAATTATTTAATTGTATTGAATTTTTAAGAAGATGATATACCCATTATTTTTGGTTTAGGTTGATAGGATAAAAGTAGATATACTCGTTGTTCAGTTTAGATAAAAAAAAATCATATTTTAATAGATTTTGATAAAGGTTGATAAGATGTAATTGAAAAGTTATGAATTCCATGAAATATGTTATTAAAATTCATTATCTATTTTAACTTAAATTTTAATCCAACTTCTTAGTTGAATCAAACACCAGAATAACTTAGTCTAGACATAATGATTTGTGGAAGAAATGCTTGCTATTAGCTTTATGCAAGCAAGATTCCATTGCCGACTTAGCTAGTAAGCCAAGAGGGCAAGCAATTGAAATTTCATGACGAAGTGTGTAATACTTATTGTAGTAGCAGTTTAAATATATTGTATTAACAATCAGATGCCCAAGTTATCATATATCAGGAGCAATAAAAAAATAGACCGAACGTTTTGTTAAAGAACATCATAAAAGCACTATGTGACGAACACTAATACTAAGAGACGAAAGCTAAAAGGGCGAAAGGCAATAGAGAACTCAGTAGTCCTGATCATAAATGATGAATACTAAGTATTGTGCTAACTGAAAAAGTTGAAATATGAGAACATTCATCTTGGATAGACTTATTATTCGGATGCTTTCAACAATCATTCGCTCTGCACTTGGCCACCCAACGCTTAGTGTGGAAATGATAATTGGTATTGAAATTTTTAGGTGTAACTTAGACTAAACTAAATAGTTTAGAATCCCGAATTTTTCTAAGAGAATTTAGTTTATTGCTTGTAATTTTATTAGTTTTCAATATTACTTTAGAATTCATATGGCTGTATAGATGGCTTAGCATCAAGTCTGAGTGTGAGCGCAAGGATTATAAAGTAAAAATTAAATAAATTACATACAATTTGTAGAATTTTGTCGAGTTATACAACTCTTGAATCAGTATGATATTAGATAAGTCAACATCTCGTTTACAATATATTTATTGATTAACCATTACAGTATTCAATGTGGATTAGCAAGTATTTTCTTAGCATGTGGATTAGTAGTGTAGAATTCCACGCCTTGACCTTCCCCCACATAGAATAAGAGTAAAGAAAACGTGAGTTCGATTTCTGGAAAGCTCTTGAAAGACAGATATTCTCCTGGAAGGCAAGGTGCAAAGATGGAAAACGACTTGCTTGGCACTTTGGCAGATTAGTTGGGGGCTCTTGAGCACTGGTCAGTTTGGGGTACAACCTGCGGTTTAACCTATCTGTACCTTGAGGGGCCAAGGTGTATATTCCAGGATTTAGTCACTGTAAGGTGGATACCTGGATATCAAAAAAAAAAAAAAAAAAAAAAAGAAAAAGAAAACGTGAGGGTTAAGTTGTTGCTTAGCCTTTGCTTGACAAAATACACACAAAGACCCCACCCCACCCCACCCACCTCACCTTGTGTTACTTACGTACATCCAACCGTGCATCGAGTCCTCGCCAGACTTTTCAAACTCGTAAACCGTCAAAAAAAGCTATTTTTCTGAAGCACCCTATGAACCTCACATGAAATCTCATAGAAATACCCCATGCAACTCCCCCACGCCCCCACCCCAGATCCCTTCTCTATATAATGTTTACGCACACATAGAGCTTACAAAGCTGAAAATGGAATCTTGGAGACCAAAGCATCGAAAATCAGGCAAATCCAAGGCCAATGCACCCTGCAAAAAGCACCCTAAACACCAACAATCCCCCGGCGTATGCTCTATTTGTCTGAGAGAGAAACTCTCTCAGTTATCTACGAAATCTTCATCGCGCAGTAAAATATCATCTTCTTCGTCTTCATATTTATCGTCTTTGTCTTCGTCCTCGTATATTTCCTCGTACTTGTCTCCTGTGAATGGGAGTAGTTTCCGAATGGCCTCAGTAGGAAGAGGACCGATGAGTTCTTTGAAGAGCACTGGCAAAGATATGCTTAAGAAGAGTAGATCAATGGCTTTCGTCTTGCAAAGGAGAAAAGATGAGAAGAATGAGAAGAATAAAAGCGGGTTTTGGTCGAAACTGCTGCATCCAAGAAGTAAGGGTTTGATGCACTCAAGAACTATGAGAGAAAAGGTCAGTACTGCAGCTCAGTAATGCCTCGATTTGTAATGCATTGTACTCTATACCAAATTCTTTATTCTTCTCATTTTTTGAAGTTATATATCTATTTAGATTAAAAAAAATAAAATAGATATATGGGGAAAAACAAGCATGATTATATCAAATCTACTAGATACAGGTTTATCTCTCTTTTTTAATTTTTATTTTATTTTTTTGGTGAAAAAGGATTGTGAAGAAAGGTTTCACTGTTTCTGTGTTGTATATTGCTGAATTCATTCTTCTTAATAAATGAATTTGAGATCAGTTTCTATTTCCAATCCCTTATCAGCACTTAATAATTTATTTATTTATTTTTTTTCGTATTTGCACAATTTAACTATACAGAGACAAAGTCGTAATATATCATTAATACAACTCTTAGGATTCAACGATTTGATCCATGTTTTGTAATTTTCGAACATTGATATGCAAATTTGATGTCTGGACGACTCCAAATTCAACCAAAACCTCGTTCAATTTATGAATTCGATGATTTGTTCTATGTTTATGAAATTTCCCAAACTTTTTAATGTATAGAATTAGTTAACGAAAATGTTCCATTTTCTCCGATCCATAAATTTGACACATTTACTTGATAAATAATCGTGACATTTCAAATAGTTGTAACAAACTCTCTCATGATTTTTATGAAATATTTATTGAACGTTGGATTGACTTAAATTAAATGTCACGATTATTTATCAAATAAGTGCGTCAAATTTATAAGTAGGATGAATGATCCCGATCAGTTAAACTAGATGCATATAAGAATTAATCTAAATGTCAAGAACAGAGATTCACAGAATTGTGCCAGAATAGAGATGAAGCCGGGTCCCACACGTCTATAAAATATTGGCAACAAAATTCCAAGCCCCACATGATTGTGTCGTTCCTGTAAGAATTCTGTAACAAGAATCCTGTAAGTCAAGCAAAGCTCTGCATGTAAACATCTCGTACGAATGCCAGCAGTGAACAGCCCAGAATGCACTGTTGCTAGGCTGTTTTTAGCTATGGTCAATTGGACCCATTCTAATAAAAAAAAATTGTTGGTCCATGGAATATTAGTATCACATGAATACGACCAAGATTTTTTTTCTTAAAAGAATCAAAGTTAGAAAGCTTCCTAGCAATTTCTTTGGAGTCAAATCACGAGTAGTCATAAAGTCGCACAACAAGAAACACGGCAAATCCTCGTAAACAAATAGAGGCTGTTGGAAAAATAATTTGACTCACGAAAAATAATTTAATCGTGAAAAGCATTTAACAGTTATAAAACTAATTAAGAAATGCAATATGATTATTGCAAACAATATGCAAGAATTTTGGATTAAATGTTTGAAAGGATTATTAAGGTTCCAAAACAAATGTTTGAAGAACAAATATTGGTTAAGATGGGGTCACTGTGAATCATTTACCCTTACTTTATTTTATTTTTTCTTTCTCCGAATAGACCATCGATTTTGACATATAGAGACAATTGTTGCAACTAGGGATGACAAAAAGACTCGCGAGCTCGGTCTGCCTGTGACTCGACCCGCAAAAAGCTCAGGTCGACTTGGCTCGAGGCTCGATTTCACCGAGCCTAGGCTTGTGCCAAGCACAATTTGGGGGTTCGGGCCAAACTCGAGCCAGCTCGTATAGCTCGCGGGCTGGCTCGCTGCCTTTAAACACAGGCAACTGGTAGCTGCCTTTAGATAAAGGCAACGACT